ATGCCAGCTGAGGCGGTGGAGGTTCCCACCAGGGGGTCACGGCAGGTCTGGGCTTTGCCACCAGCCTCGCACCACCCTGAAACGTGTGGCAGGACTTCGGTGAGCCACTCCCTGGAGTCCTCCTCCCCCTCCTTCCAGTGCTCACTGTCCAGGGTGGTCTGCAGCCAAAGCATAATGCCCTTGAGAAGCTCATAGGGTCAGGACAGCCACCAGTCCCTGATTTAAGAGGAGGAGATCCATAGAGGTGCCTTGATCTCCACCATCCTCACTCTAAATAGCCTGTGATGCCAATTAATGCAACTGAATCAAAGCGTTCCTCAGTGGGAATGACATGCACAGGTTGAACAAAACTTTACACAGCATCCATCGCTAAGCAGGTTTCAGTGAATGCATCTGAAGCCTTTTACTTTTTTCTTCTAATTCATTGTTTCTTTAAACCAGAAGTAATGGAAAAGGAGAGCGAAAGTTGGCACTGTCACTCCTGACCTGACACTGGGCCCAGAATGAGCTGCCCCACAGAGGAACAGAAAGGCAGAGAAAATCTCTCCCCCCGCTATTTTGAGGGAAAATCTGCAAGATGCAGAAGCCCATCCTGTGACACAAATGGCAGCGCTCCTGGCTGAGAAGCAAACAGCCTCTGCAGGCATTGTGGTTTAGTAAAAAATTGACCATTGTTTCCCTTCTGTCCCACCAAATTTGTTCATCAATTCAAGGCATTTCCAGGAGAAAAAGCCGGAAGGTGTGCACATCATTTTCCACCCAAGTGTCCCTAAACTGCTTCTGAACTAGGGATTTAGAAATGCAAGCTTGGAAAAGGCTTACAGGGGCTCCTGACAAGCTTTGGAGAGAAAGGGAGAGAAGAGGAAGGGAAGAAGGTGCACTTTGTCCTGGCAGCACAGGACAGCTCTCAGCTTTGCAGAAATCCCTCTCTCCAGCTGCACATTGCTGTTGCTGCTCAATATAAAAGCAATGATCAGAAAAATCTATTTCTTTCCCTGGTAAACAACGTAACGTCTTGCATTTCTGTGGAGCCTTTCACCCACCTCTTTGAGCTCCATGCAGGAGCTTCTTCAGAGCGGCGTGGAAGGACCCTGCAGCACTGTGGGGTTGTGGAGGGAGGGATGCCCGGCGTTGCCCGCAGCTCCTTGCCGTGGGCTCGGCCCAGAGTGCAGCATTTTGTGTCGAAGGTTTAAGCAGCAGCACAAGGGGTCCTGGCACGGGACAGAGCCCACAGCGAAGGGCTGCAGGAGCCCAGGAGGTGCTGGGCAGGGGCTCACTGGTGTGAGCTGCCAGATTTGGCAGGGCACAGGCAGGACAGGGGCTGGTCAGGCTTGTCCTGCACGCTGAGCAGAAGACCAAGGTGAGGCAATTTGCAGCAACTGTTAGTGAAAGCATCGGGAATGGCCCCAAAAGGGGTAACAGAGCTGATATGCAGCCAGATCCTAACTCACAGGCATCGTCTTGGGAAACGGAAACGGAGAGGAGAGGAGAGGAGAGGAGAGGAGAGGAAGAGTCTATTTTGGAAAATCCATGTGTGTTAGAAGCCAAAACCTCCCTTCATTTGTATGAACGCAAGTCAGCTGCAGCAGGGATACTGAAAGGCAAACTCAGCCTTAATTGTTTTGATTTACTGCTAAACACTTGAGGATAATGTTCTTTGTGATGCTTAGGAACAAAACCCCAGTTGTGCTACCAGCTCTGAGGAGCTTTTACTGTTCTACCACTCTTTCTGCTTCTCATAGGTTTTATAGCTCAGTGTAACATCAGAGAATGGGGTGCAACGCGCCTGCTTTGCACCTAGAGCACCACTGTGCTGGAGTTTCGGCACCAGCAGAGCAGATGGGGGTTTGTGGTGCTCAGTGAACACTAGCTCAGCCCTTGGCTGCTGCCCCTGCCCCAGCTGGCACCGGGCACGGCCCTGCAAGGGCTGCAGCTCGTCTGCAGGGCTGGAGGAATGCAGCATGCACGAATGGTGCCAGCAAGTGGAGCAGGAGTTGGGGGTGAACCCAGACTGCCACATGTACCTGACGGAGGTGTGATGCTTCCAGCCTGTCCTAACACCCGGCTGGCTGCAGGGATGTGCTCCCCATCGCATCACCTCTTTGGAGGCAAAGCAGGGAGAGGGTTACCTTCCCCGTGCAGGGAAACAACATGGTGTCACCGTGCAGGCAAGGCACCATGCAAGCAAGATGCTGGGCTGCCCGTGCAGCCCGCTGGGCAGAGGCACCCCTGGGCGAGGGGACACACATGTCCCACTCCGGGCTTTCTTTGGTCAGGGGTTTCTGAAGTGCATAAACTGCAAGCATGGGAACCCAGGAATGAAGTTCAAAAGGCCACCGGCAGCTTTAGATGTGTGGAGTTGTAGTAAAGCTGCTGTGGTAAAGCCAGGCTTAGAGTAGGATGAAACAGTTCGATGAAAGCAGGGTAGCTCCAACTCAAACCTTCCCTTCCTCGGCAGGAATGTGGGAAAGCGTGCTTTGTCTAAGCGCAGGGGCAGAGCCCACGTCCCTGGCAGCGGTGTAGCCCTTCTGCCTTCTGATTTGCAGTGATACAAGCGCGGGGTGAGAGTAAGGCTCGATAGCACTGGTTCACGAAGGGTCAAACTGCCATGCACCTAATCCCCTGATTTATTAGGAAACTCTTCTTCCTTCTCCCATCGCATCCCTGCTGATGGAAGATCAGCAGGCAGGAGAAGTAACACATCGTAGATTCATAGGCTCACACTGACATTTCATGAACAGCACAGAAAGGACCAAATGCAAAAAAAACCCAAACTGGCTCCAAGCTGATGATTTATACTGTTTTCTCAGGGCCTGTTTGCCAAGCAGCTGGTGTTTTGTGCCAATTGCTATTACAGAAGAGCTTTCTTTAATAGGTATCGTGAATGGACACTACGCGGTTTATCTTAAAACAAAATCCCTCCCCACAGCTTATATGGGCTGGCAGGGGATGAGGGAGAGAAAAAGTTGGGCTTTGTTGTTCTTTTCTTTATGCAGGACTTTGGGGGAGCCTGCATTATCTGTGCAAAAACACAACAGATGAATTCTATTAATGGATATAACATGTGGCCGGGTTCAAGCTAGAGTTGTCATTTGAATATAGAAGTCAAAGCCAATTTATTGAAACATATTTTTCTTTTCAAAATATTTTAAGAAAGACAAAAAAGTTTGCGCAACAACTTGGCAAGCAGATCTGTTGAGAGGAGGTATTTTCTATCTTGCAGCTAACATAAGGGCTGAAAAATGTGGCAGTGCCGAGCAAACCCAGATTCCTTCTGGAACTGAAAGAAAGTGTGCAGGATATAATTGTGTAAGAGCCCAATAAATTTTGAAGGGTGGGTTTGTAACACTGCCTTGGGGGCTGCAGGTGTCTCCAGAAGAAAGTCATGGTTTTTATTTCGGTAACAGACGTCAAATACTTTATCTAGCTAGCTATGCGCTCGTGTGGCCCCATCTAAAAGCCACAGAATTGTTTTAAAATAGAAATACCCATAACAATCATTGTGTTTCTTCCATGCCAGATGGTAAAAAGATAAGTTGGATTAGTTTGTAGTGTGTGTGTGTGTTATTGTGAGGGGGGGGCGGGGTGTGTGCAAAAGCTAAGGCACAGAAATGAGCTTTCCTGGAGTTTGCAAAGTGATGAGCATCAGTGCTCCACAGTCTTCAGGGCATGAGTAGGCTATGCCTGGCCAGTCCTTGTTTCGCTCTTGGTCAGTCCATATTTCCCTGGATGCCATGGGAGGCAATGGCTGTGGACCAGAGCTTTACTTTGGTAGTAGACCAGACCTTGGGACTACACCTCGGTATTGAGAGAACCGCTGTATAACAGGGAGCATCAGACTGCAGCTGGCAGGGATTCCTGTGTTGTGGAGCAAATACACTGCTATATTATGGTTATACAGAATTAAGTGCTTTGGTTCCTATGGTGAATTGCAACAAAGTGGAGTCAGAAAACTGAGGTTTCTCATGACTCTTGTGACCTCTCCCGTATCTCTCATTTTCTTTGCAGCTGGGAAGCTAAGGAATACCTGACTATCAAGTGATCCAACATAGGCTGAATATTTTTGTGGCGTAACATATTTTTGTGTGTGGACTGAGAAAGCTACATTTCCTACATTTGGTAAAGGTCCAAGTATGAAACAGTGGTGGAGCAAGTAGTCAGAAAACATATTGCTGCCAAGGGAAAACCATGGGTAAAAGAAAATGAGCAGCATATTGTCATCCCATGTTCATTCTCATCCTGTGTGTGCATGGTCTGAGTTCCCAAGTACCTTCCCCATTGCCCCCTGAGATGACTTTTTCTCATTCCTTCCTCATGAAGCACAGGGAAGAGGAAGCGGAGCTAGATCCATCGCAAAGATCAGGGAGACCCCAAAGCCCTCTTCAAAGTGCTGTCCAGTTACACATTTGTTTTACCAAGGAAACTGGTAAACTGATAAACTCTAAGCCTATTTAATCCTGCCGCTAATGGGAGACAATTAGCAATCTCTCAGAGATTGCTCTTGTCAGGGAGGTGATGGGATGAATGAAAGCGGCACCACTCACCCCACTGCGAAGTAACAACTTTCCGCTTCTGTATTTTCTAAGAATAGATGCCACTTCTAGCAATGAGTCTGTAACTTCTCGCTGCTGCTTGCCAGATGGTAGGAACCAGCAGACACCGAGTTTTTTCCCTTGTGGTCAAACAAACTGCCGTACGGCCCGATGCAAGTTTCCTGAAAGATCCCCAGGACAGCTCCGTTACTTCTGTTAACGTTTCCCAAGCTCCTGGTACAACATTGAGGTTTTCCACTGGAACCACCTGGCACGTTTTCAGTCTTCCATGAGCAATGAAGTTACTCAATCCCGTTCTTATTTTGTCAAAGCCTTTGTATCGGTTGCTTGTCCTGAGAGTCTGTGGGCTGTGTCCTGTACTTGAGCTAACTGCATAAAAAGGATTATTTCCTTTTCTTGATGCTTGTTATTATTTTTATCCTTCACGAGCCATTTCTTCTGTTTCAGGATCAACACTCTGTGGTAGGCCAGGGAGCTGGCCCCACTCCAAGCTCCAGTTCTTGCTCAAATCCAAACACTGGAAGTGGTTACATGAACTCATCCCAGCAATCAATGTTGAATCAGCAACTGATGGAAAAGAAACAGGCTCTGCAACGGCAAATGATGGAGCAAAAACAACTCCTTCTACAGCAGCAGATGTTGGCAGAAGCCGTAAGTTTTCCAATTCCTTATTTTACGTGGAAAACATTATCACAGAAACAATAGAAAAGAAAGATAAGACAGGGGGAAGAAAGCCCCCAAAACTTCGAGGTCATTTTGGCAATGCCCAGACCTTCTAGAGCGTGCCTCATATTTTTCAGCACTTTGCTAAGCCCTTTTGAAACCTTCTTCAGTTTATATGAAACAACTCAAGTATCCGAGCTACTGTGGTTTCGTTATGAGAACAGTCTAAGCATATGCTTAATTTAAGGCATATGAATATTGTCAGTGGTTTTCTTTGCAAGATAAGCTAAGGTGCACTGCTACGCTACTTTGGCCACAGAGGAAAGTTGACTTCCAGGCTCTGCAACCTAGGCAGCATGGTATAACTTTATAAAGTGTGTAAACAAGGATCAGGGACATCGATTTTAGTGTTCAACACAAGCTTGTGTGCTTGTCTGGGATCATACATGAGTCCTCTTTTTTCTGTTTTTCTTTTTGCATTTACAGATATTTGTAGCCAGTTCTTCTCTCTCCCTTGGTATCTGAGTGACAAATTGGGAGTTTCTGGTCATTTTATGAGGCATGGGGGATATTTGTGGTCTTGTTGGGAGTGATAAATATTAGAACCCACTGATTTTGTTCCACTAAACTGGCATTGTCATTGATACTGCACAAACTGAGTCAGCTGAAGGTGCTTTATGGCCCATCAGCCATGGCCAGTACAACGGGGGGGAGTCCCAGCTGCTCAGAGCAGTAGCACGTGCCCTCTGCATCCTCGTGTTCGCCGTTCCTTGGTAGTCCTGCTTGCCAAAGCATGGAGAAGAGAGAAGTCCTAGAAGAGGAGCTGAGCTCGGCATGTCCTTGGGGCAGGCAGAAAGCAACACAGGTGCCCTGCAACAAGTAGGGAAGGGCTGCAGGGAGGATTCCAGGGAAGGATGGAGGTGACACCACCACCTGCTTTGCTTCCCCCAGGCTGCAATGACAGCAGACCCCCAGCCTGGGGCTTATTTCCCTCAGCCTGCATCTCTCAGCCTACAGGGCAGACTCATTCATGCTGGGCTGACGGTTTGAATCCAAAACTTTCTTTTCTCTATAAAGATGTAGACTCAGAAATACTGACACATTTAGTGAATGCCATTCAGTAACTAAAGAACAACACAGAAGTGGAAAAGCACTCATGGTTTTGTGGGGATGTTTTTTAAAAAAAAGTATTCAGTTTTTTTATAGAGAATATCTTTTTGTTTACAAATTTATTTCCATTCCAAAAATACAATTAGACAGCTTGAGTTTGAAATTAAGGATTTCATTTGTCCTACGAGGGAAATATTTGTTGACTTTTTAATTTATGCAGAAGAAAAGTTTCAAGTCAGCTCAAAATGCTGCAGTTTTCTGTCAGAATTTTTAGCAGAACAGAAAGTTAACTGTGCGTGTAGCTTTTCTTAAAAATAAGTAAAATAAAGATCAAAATCACTCTACAGAATGCGTTCTTTTGATCAGCTTGAATTTGCTGTTGTATCATGTTCATAGAAATACACACAAAGCCTGCCTACAGTTTTTACATGTATTGCAGGGATTTCCTGCGAGATAACTTGTATTTCTTCTTCACAAGGGTTCAGGTCGAGCGGTATGTTAAAACGAGCCTTATAAATCTTAATCAGACCCCTCACTCCCAGAGTGCATTATGGAAATGCCTAAATACCGCAAGAAAGGCTCTTCTCCCAGTGTTTTAAAGTGCTCCTGGCAGAAGAAAAAACAGATTTTTCATGAGAAGGTCTGTTTGCGTGCTGTTTTCAGGCAGAAGATCCCCAAATTACTCTGATGGACACTCAACACCAGCCAGGGCCTGACTCTGCCATTCTAGCAGCCAAGCACAAAACCCAGGCGCCTTGCAGAGAAGGGGTGAAGCCTGCCCAGCAGCTGCCCAGTAAGCACGACTCCAGGAGGCATGTCTGCACCAGCAATGACTTACCAGTGACTGAGGTGGTCAAACCCACATTTTCCCGCCATGGGGCCATGTATGCTGAGGAGTCGTTGCTCATGGGCAGGCAGTAGCACTCTGGAGCCATCAAGTCACAGTGATGCTGATGAGAGATTTGGCATTGACTCCGGTGCCTGCGCTTTCCAGATCTTTATGAACACAGGGCAGTTAGTCAGATTTCAGTTCGAGGACTTGGATTTCTATCTTCCCTTCACCAGAGATGTGTCCCTGCAGGCCCAAAATAAAAAAAACATACTAATTGGCTTTTTCTGCAATCTTTCCCCACTGTCCTTCCCCCAGAGCTTGCACTCCAATGTAAGAGTAATGACAGCACCACGTACATATATGGGGAAGCACAGGGCAATGGTGAGTGGGATGAAAACCAACAAGCCCAGCCCAGCACTGTCCTTGCTAACTCCTGGCCATGTGTCCTGCTGGCATCCCTGGTGAGGAGAGGCACAGGGGAGGAAAAAGCAATGGGTTTTGCTGATTTTCGTGGGAGCTTCTCCAGGGTAGGAGGAAGGACAGAATGAGGGATGGGTATGGCTGGGGTTCAGGATGACAAGCTGAAATGCCCTTTGCCAGCTGTGCATGCTGAGAGGTCAACGAGTTGATGAACACTGATGCAGCCAAGGGGCAGGTGTGGACCTCACAGGTCTGGACCCTCGTTGCTCCCCAGCTGCATCCCAGCTGTGTGTTTGGGTTAGACCTGGATGTTTGGTGTGCCTCTGTGCTTTCTCTGAAAGCAAACCCAGCTGCACAGACAGGGAGGGAGCCATGAGGAACCATCAGGTCCCTCTGGCTGATGAGCATAGTGAGCAAAACAGTGTGGATGTCGGAGGACACTTTATACTGCAGTGCAGACATGGCCAATCTTTGCAGAGGCTGAGCAACTCTCAGTAATTTTAAGGAAAGTTAGACCAGACTCAAACACAATACAACCAGCAGAAAGGTTTCCATACAGCCTTCAGTGGGTGATGGCACAGGTTCACAGCTGCCTCTCCTGTTGACCAGACAGGATGAAAGGAAGCAACACTTCAGCTTTGTACACACTGAGAAAAGAAGGAGGCGGGCAAAACACAGAGCCAGGAGAGCATAAAGAAAAGCAAATTAATATTTTTCTACTCTAATCCTCTAGGAGAAAATCACTCCACAAGATCAGCTGAACAGACACTTGACACGACCACCACCAGATTATAAAGACCAAAGAAGGAACGTTGTCAACATGCAACAAGCAAACCAATATCCTGGTAAGTGGCCATGTGCTAAACGAAACTGTTTACTTCCTTCCTTCCAGCTGGAAGACCATCCAGAAGAGCCGCGCATGCACTGATAACAAGGGCCTGATTTTCTGGGTATGCACTTACATCACCGCAGAGACAGTGAGTGGTGGCTGCTGCTCTCCTGTGCTATTTACCTTACTGCCCACCACCACTGAGAAGTGCTGATATATGATCTGGAGAACCAGCTGGTGGTTCATCCAGGCTGATGCTGCATGTCTCAGGCATAGGGACGGAGGTGGCCCTTCCGTTAGCACTGCCTGAGGCAGCGCACCCAAATACTTGATACAAAGGTGTCCTCTTGTCTATGCAACCTCACTCTATCCAGATGCTTCTTTCATGTACGTAGTACATCTTGCTTCAGAGACTGAGATGAGAACCATCCATCCCTTTGAATGGCAGCTCATGTACAGTGTGAGGACCATCATACTCATTTTTAAGTATCTCATATGACACCATGATGGGCAACCAGAGTGTTGAACTTTTGGTCTCTTCAATATGCCACGGTCATGGCCTCAGTGCTGCTCTACCAGCAGCATTTCAACAGATTAGTCAAACAGTAGGGTAGCTTTCAGCCAGAACTGCCCAGGGCAGAAAATGCCACGCTTCAGGACTAGTCCTTGGTTTCAGCTCTCGAGCCCTCACCGTCTTGAAGAGTATCGTTTGGGGAGCACAGGACTGTCTGTGTGGCTTTTCATGTTGTTCACCTTGCTGGTTAGGTGGAGGCTACTCCGAGAGCAAAGGCAGAGTAAGGAAAAGATGCTGGGGCAAGAGAGGAGGTGAGGGGAAATGCAGCAGATGGGATCAAAGGATGTTCTTTATACGGCAAAGCATCTGTGCATTTAAGTATTAAAAGGATCCTTTACCTTCTAGTATATCTTTGTAGGCCACACACTGAAGAAAAAAAATATGGTTTCGTTTGTTCGTTTTTCTGTAACTGTTGGCTCCGCAGATTCAGCCAGGGATCTGATTCTTTCCTTTTTACCTGTCCTTTGTAGCAAAACTTTTTCAGCTTCTATTATGTTTTTAATGAGTTCCCAAGGGCAGCTTGCTCACATGCCACCCCTCTGCCCAGCCTGCTGGCCATGGCACCAACAGCTTGGCTACATGTGGAAGGGCTGGGGTGGGCTGCTCAGGCAATGTTCATGCACTCCTTTGCTTTGTTTACAAGTTCTAGCAGCGATAAGCTTGCTGCAGTCTGGAAACTGCTGCTTTCTAACGGACCTGAGTATTTGTCATCTTCAGTAAATTTGCACAAGCATCACTGATGCCAGCGTAATGACTCACGGTGAGGGCAATGTCACAGGGCGGAGAGAGCCCTGCTTGCTGGCTTGGTACCTCCTGCGCTTGTAAAACAAATGCATTGGCAACCCCAGCAGTTTGCTGGGGAATCCTGTGATTTGGTGTGTTGTTTAAAGGCTCATTCCTGGAATCAAATGATTAACTGAGATTCTTGGCTTTTACTTAAAAACAATCCATTTCTAGCCTGAGAGAGAAAATGGAAATGACTGCAGCCACATCTGTGAAAGGCTCCAAAATAAGTAGATCGCCATTGTTATGTGGCTCTTGTTGTTCTTAATCTGATGGACTTGTTGCCAATCTCATGGTATTTGGAGTCCCATCTCCCGGGTTTGAAACATGTGGGATTGGCAGCACTTGTCCATACAAATCTCACGTCCCTGCTGCGTGAGCCCAGGGAGGAGAGCAGCTTTCAGGCGAGCCTGGGAGAAAGGGCTGTGCTGGGAGCTCGCAGCAAAGCTACCAGATGGAGCGATTAGGAAACGCTTGCATAAGGGAGTAACAGCAGGGAATCTGTTCCCTTTTTCTGGGAATAGCTTTGCTCAGGTCAGGGAAGAAGAGACAAAAAGTTAAATAAAACAACGTAGGGGCTTGGAGACACTTGGTTAAGCATTTTATTCCTCTATGCTTTTCCCCATAGTGCCATGTCATAGCAAGAAACCCCCAAGACAAGAGCAGGTGAATCGGGCAGTGAAGGCGTTTCTCTGAATCGCCGTAGCCTGGGGTGCCCAGCTGCTGCACACAGCGCTGCCGGGGAAGACATTTCTTCCCATCTGGAAGAAATCAGAATGGAAAATACTTGTGTTAAAAATAAAAGGATAAAAATAGCAATACAAAGAAAGAGGAAGCTTCGTCTTTTGCACAACAAGTCCAGCCCATGTCCTGACCACTTGTGCTCTTTAAAGAGCGTGGCATTTGCAGGAGCAGTGCGATGGTAGCCCTGCGGGCTGCTCAACAGCTGGCAGGGTCACCCCGGGAGGGGCTTCATCCCAGCGGCAAGTGAAGTGACCCCACAAACTTGTAGTTCAGCTAGAGGGAGAGAACCAGCTCTCCCTAGATGGCTGATCCAGGTCTTTTGAAGTGTCACCGATTTCTGTGCCGTTCCTCCTCTTTAGTACCGGCATGAGGGAGCAAAGAATCAGGGCCCCCAGCTCTATCACCCCCGCGAAAAGATGTTACAGTATTTCCAAAAAGCAGTGGGCAATGCCCAACCCACCAGCAAAGCCAAAGACGGGGCTAATTGTGAGGTTGCCTGCTGAGAACTGGTTTTCTCCTCTTCGTTTCCAGAGCTAAATTCAGTTAGGGGGCTCCCTGGGAGGACATGGAGGAGAATCTGATTGTCTCTGGGGGGGTAAAACCAGGTGGATTCCTCATAGCATCTCCTGTCCCAGGGACTGCCCAGCTCGGGGACTGAATTTAGGTGCTCACCTTAGGACAACGTAATTGTTAGGACAATTAGATTCTCTATAGTCAAGTGTCTCCTGCTTAGAGCCAGTTTGTGGAAAAGCCTGCCTTCCAGGATAAGGTGAGCTTCTTAATTTAGATATCTATGTTTGTATTGATTTGGAACATGCAACTCTGGTTGTGGAGTCACGTGAAGTGTTAATAATGATTTGGGGAGAGATTATTTTTAAGTACTTAAGGAAAAAAGGAATCCTTTGCATCCATTACTAAATGGAAATAGCATATGTATAAAAATAATGCAGAAAAGGCAGAAATATATGATAATTTTTCCTTCAGTTCCAGTCTGAGGGAACTGAACATCATTATGGTGAAATTTCAACAGGAACAGTATATTAAACAGCTGTTCCTAAACATAGACTTTTTAAATATGTATGTGCATGATTTGTCTTGAAGAGTTTTAAAAGAGCTGGCTGAGAGGTTCTCCAAATTCTTAAAGTCACTTTTTATTTAGTCTTGAAACTCCAAGGAAGACTGCTAATGCCATGACAAAAATTAAAAGAGTAAGTAGGTAATTGCAGCCCTCATGACCTAATGCAGAGCTCAGCAAAAATATTGGGGAGCTGATACAGCCTGAAGAATAAAGAATTTAGGAAGGGAATATAATTAATGTCAGGCAACACGGGCTGATGTAAAAGAATCTTTTCAAACTAGCATGGTATTTTTTTCAATGGAACCACAACTTTGGTTGATAAATGTAATCGTTGTTCAGGTAATGTCCTTTAAAGCATCTGACTTTGTATTGCCTATTTTGGTTAAGAAACCAGAATGATACAAAATTAACATATCACGTAAGGAAATGGCTGATAGGTCTCCAGATATCACTGTAAACAGGCTGTGCGATTGCAACCAAAAAGACAAACACAGTCTGAAATGATGCTGAACAAGAAAAAAAGAGCTTACTTTACATCCGTGTTGGAGTGGTGCAAGAGCTATTACTGTGACCAGCTGTCATGTACAGCCTTGAAATCAAATGTTGAAAACTGTCAAGTTCTGAAAAGAGCTTAGAAGGACCGAAGGACTGGAAAACATGCTGCACACAGAGACTGATGTATTTGGAGAACGCTACAGGCATGGTCACAGTCTTGAAGCACCTGTGTGGTAAGAAGGAATTCATGATGGACCAACTAATAAAATTAATCACACAGTCTATAATAAGATTTGATGATGAAGTCAAAGTTAGTCAAATTCAGTCTGGTTTTGTTGTGGGCACAAAGGATCGAACCAAGGCAGTGTCCCTTGTCCAACAATTGCTACTAGTTGCTACCTATGAAATAGCAAAGCTCCAGGGCTGTATGTTCCCCTGTTCCTCCTCTGGGAGAGGCTCAGGGAATTCCCAAAATGTGGTGGTACCTTGGTAGCAAGCCCATTCAACAGCTTTTCTCACACTTTGGGAGCCATCCAAAGTGGTACAAGACTTTAGCTTGTACTGTGACATGTGGCAAAGATTTCCTCAGCTGACCCACACGTTGTGTGAAGAAACATCTCCTTTCATTTGCCTTGGACCTGACTTCTCCTGGCTGCACTTTTTGTAGGGCTTGTACTGGAAGCAACAGTAGCAAAGGGAATTAAGCTGTGGAGCACCTGATTGTGTGCAGAGGAAGGTTTTCCACAGTGCCGTTTGGTCTTCTTCAACCAATCTCTCAGGGATTAATTCAGAGCCTTGCACTGCATAAGCAATCAGCCTACATTGCATAAATGACTTATTGTGGCCGCAAAATAGAGACTGTGTAGCCGCAAATCTGCCACAGAAGTGAGCTTGTGTCGCGGTTTGGAGGCTGAAGAGAAGAGAAACCTCTCTTCTTGTGATTCATTGGCAGATGTCAGGTACAGGAAAATCCTCCACTGGGCAGAATTAGCCATGAATGGTAGCTTGATGCCAACTCATACCTTCTAGTTTTCTGATGCACAAAAGGTGATGTTCATGTGCAGCAAATGCCTGCACATCAGTTATCACGGGTGGCTCCCTCATGGGCAAGTCAGCTTCTGCAGGGGCAAATGGCCATAGCCCAGCCAGGAATAAAGTTTAGAAGGGGCACGTGGGTGGCACTCGCCAGGCACAGCACCGAGCCATGTCCTCATGCCTGCTTGGCCGCCACATGGGAGGACAAGCAGGTCACAGACTGGGCTGAGCTGCTCTCCCAGCACCTGGCTGGAAGGGAGGCTCTGAGTGCTGCAAATGTGTGAGACACAGTCTTGGCTCCTGCTGTCATCTGGGACAGGGATTTCCAGAAGGGATAGATACCACTGCTGTAGGTATCTAAGAAAGGTGGAAAAGGGGCCTAATGATGGTGCCTATCACTCCCCGTTATCTCTAGAGGGAGCCAGGATGAGCCATGCCCTGTAAGGAAGAAAAGTTCTTGATCTTCTCTGCCTCTGCTCATTTAGACAGCCTTTGTCCTGTCTGAGGTGTCTAGCGCTTCTGCAAAAAAAGGCAGAAAAGTCTTCTCTCCTGCCCAGTGGTTCTGTCTGTCCTTCCCTGCTCCAGTATTTGTCTTACAATGAGCACCAGTTCTGGCTCATCTGATGTCCTCTGGAAGGAGGGAAAGACCACCAATGGCCTCATATAGACCAAACCACCCTTTGGATGATAGGCATCTTTAAGGCCTTGAGCAATTTCATGCAAGTCCTCTTAAGAGCAAAGTATCTTCTTCAAGAAATTCTGCTTCTAGAAAACTGGATTTTTAACCTGTTGGTGTTTGAATGACACCACGCATTGATGCACTCATGTTTGTTTTAACACTTTTGATTTCTCCTTTCCAGGTGGTTCACCAGCTGTCAGTATGAGCTCCAACAACATGTCCTTATCCAACCCAATTTCAACTCATAGCATCATGCCCCAGAGCTCCAGCCTCATGTCCACCCCCGCTGGGACCCGGATGTCTTCTGTTCCTGCCGCTCGGAGTATGGGCTGCTACGGGAACCTTCCTTGCAACCAACCAAGCGCATACAACGTGACTTCAGGAATGAACCAAATGCAGCCACACAGAAACCAAAATCAAGTCCTGCCCAGTCAGAATAACCCCATGATGTCTCGACAGCAAACTATGACGCAGGGAAACAACGTAGCGGCTTTTGGGACAGGGTCGGTGGTCAACTCGCAGCAAGTAAGGCCAAGCTTGAACCATGGAGCCACAGGTATCCCTGCGCAAAGGCCAGCCAACGTGATGATCACGGCTACTGCCACTGCCCAGAACTGGGCCCCACAAGAAGCTGCAGTGAAGCAGCAGGATGCACTGAAACCCGCAGGGGTCCGTTTCCCCACCGGCACTCCATATCCTAACCAGTCTTTGCAACGCAACGTAGGCAACCAGCATTTTTCTCAGCGTGCATTGGCACCTCCTAATCAGTTAACAGCAGGAGTCCAAATGAGGCCTCCTCTAAACCAAATGCACCAGACTCTAAATGGACAATCTGCTGGCTCACTACGAGGTCTCAGCATAAGACCTAACCAGCTGAGAGGACAGACTGTGCCTACCTTGAATCAGCCAGGAACAAGTATGACACCTCCGTCATCTCTGCCATCAACCAGTTTCACATCTACCAACCAAAACTCTCGGGCTTACCAAGGAAGTGAGCACGGTAATGACCTAGCATTTGACTTTCTGAACCAGCAAGGTGACAGTATAGGACCTGCGCTCAACAGTGACTCAGACTTTATAGATTCTTTACTGAAAACAGAACCTGGTAACGATGACTGGATGAAAGACATCAACCTTGATGAAATTTTGGGGAACCACTCGTAAGTGACAGTACCAAGGGTGAACCAGATGAAGAGGCAGTAAGGACATTAGCTTTCTCTTTAGATGCCAACAACCTGCTTTATTAATTTACACTCCAGTAACTGGGCTGTCCTTTAAAATACCATGTAGGGCAACTGCCCTGTTTGAAGAGTTGCTCTAGGAACAAAACTGAAGTCCCCCCTGATGAAACGATAACGTAAGTGATATTCATGCCTGCCACAAAGGAGTGAGAACGCATGAAGGGTCTGTTCCCCACACCGGTGCCCAGCGCATTGCAAACCCATCAGTTCTTCTCACAGGGGCCGCGTGGAAAAACATGTTTATTTTCCCACACACGCAAGCACCAGACAGTGGTACAGGTTGTGGGACATAATTTCTCTGAGTGCAAATAAGAGCCCCAGCGGTCCAGAGCTCTTCAGTCATCATGTTCACAGCCCTTAACTTCCTCGGGACTACTCAGCCCTGACAGCATCAGGCCCTGTGTAAATCTCATTGCGTTACAAAAACTGTTTACTTCTACACAGTACAAACTCTACATTTGCTTTCCCGATGTTTTTGGTTTAAAACCTCTATGTTTTGTAGCACACAAAAGGGTAAGTGGTCTCATCTGAGGGAAGAAGGAAACAGATCATCCCGTGTGTTACTCAGTGTGCTCTAGTGTTCGCTTTCTCCCTTTCATCAGTGCTTGCAGCGAGTATCAGAGGAGGCTACTGTCCTGCCAGCAGCACAATCGTTTTGGGCATTGAGGGAAATGAGATGAACTACACCAAAGCTCAGGATCCTCACTTTGCCACCTTGCCCTACCCCAGGGACTCCAGTGACTTAATGGACAACTTAAGTGAGAAGGGTGCTCACGATTTGACCCTCACCAACTACTTTCCCAGTCCAGCTTAGAGGAAGGCAAATGCATGAAGTGGCTCAGCTAAGCCACTATACTCATTTTCATCTTAACCCATGGCGAGTGTCAGGTAGTTCAGCCCAGCCCTCTTCTATCGAACAGGTTTACCCCAGCAGAAATGACAGCATCTCTGTCTGAGGACAGGCTACCATTTTGATTGCACAGCATTTTGGCTCCATTCTGCTTTCCCTCTGCCATATGGGGGTAGTTGAAAGAGGTCCAATGACGGCCCAGGTCCCCACAGCTTCTGTCGAGCAGAGTACGAGAGGCTCTGCCCCTGAAACTAGCATGCAGATCAGTTATAACCACCTGGGTTACTCACGGTAGGAGGCTCCACTCAGCCACATCTGTGCTTGTAAATGAAACAGTTTTGGGGAATATTTCTGGGCACTGGACTCAATCATCTGCTCTGGGTTTGGGGATGGCCCAGCTAACACTGACCTGAGCACCTTCTGTGCATCACTAGGGAGTTAACCTGGGGCAAGGACCATTCCCACACACAGTTGCAGCCACCTTGCCTTGGAGGCTAACAGAGCAGAGCAGTAAGGACACGCAGCTTGACCTCAGTGACAGGGAATAGTCTCGACCGTGTTAAATTTTCTTCTACAGATTTGGTCAGTAAGGGCATCAGAAGGAGGTGCTATGTGACTATAAAGCAGATCTGCAGTGATTCAGACAGGAGGATTCATAGATGGGAACAGATCTTGCAATTCAAATGAAAATGCTGTTCTTTAAAATTATGTGGTGCGACGTGTTTCACAGCCTCCTCTGAATTAGCTAAAACTAGATGTGGCAAAGGAATACAATGCCTATATTCACATGCCTCAGTGCCAAGAGGCATTGCTCTGCCCTGTGCAAGTGCTTTATTCATCCTTGTTAGTGGCAGTGGGATGAGTAGACTACTTGACAATAGCCTCTGCACTTATCTGACCTATTTCTCAAGAGAGGTTTTAATAAGGCTTTTCCAGTCATTTCACCCTGTCATTTCATGTGGGCACAATTTTTCATGATGTTTCAAGAAGCATCATCACACAAACGAGCACCAGCACCTCGAGGAAAGGTGTAACGTAGGCATTCAGCTAGATATGCCAGTTGAGGCAGGCTGGTCCATGATGCTGTTCATTTCCAGACATATTTTTCATAAGAGGCACAAGAAAGCCTGCTGAAGAGTCCTTTCTGCTGCCCCAGCTAGTGATGGTTGCACACCCCTGCCTTGTATAACGTGGTGGCTCAGCTGCCCAGAAAGCTCCCTCTTCTACCCAGTTTTGGCTGGGGTGCACGCAGTCCCTTTGATATGCCAGTACAAATTTTTCCAAGTCTTCAAAGAGCTTTTTTTGCCCAGGTCACTGGCGCCCCACCTAAGTTTGGAGAGGTACAGATGTGGTCTAACAAATGACTCCCCTATAAATTGTGCAAAACTAGACTGAAATAGTAGCTATGTGAGTTTAAAGTGGAGGGAAGATCGGCTCATCTGTCTCACACCCAGGCACACACCCCGTCCACGAGCAGGTCAGCAGTGACTGCCGAAGCTCTGGCAGGAACAGACGACTGCGATGCCACTAAGGTCGAGGCTGATTAGTATCACCACGAGCAATGGGCACTGAAGTCTGGTAACTTCAACTGCCCTCACATGCCATTGAAAAAGCCACCACTGGTTTCTGTATTAAGACCACATTGTTTTCCAGATCCTCAAATGATGTAAAAAAATTATTCAGCTGAGGAGCTGGTCCCAAGACTTCAGGATATCATCCGGTGCTGGATTCAATGCGGAGCTTTGTCCCGTTGGCCTCAGCCTGGAGTGGAGAAGACACTGGGCTGTGAGTGCCATCCCCGGGATCAAAATTTCATCCTGTCTTAAGTAAATTCAGCAAAGGTAGAGGCCATTTGCAGTCCTGTAAAGATATGCCTGATGCATTTGAAATGTGAGCTTGTGAAAGACTCTTGCAACCAAAACTTGAATCCAATATCATTTATTCAGAACACTTGTATCTGAACGGAGCTAGTGTCTTTTTTCTCTTTCTTTGCAATGGCTAAGTGCACTACCCTTATAGTCTATTTTTCATCATTGACCGGGCACTCTTCGCAGTATTGGGTTGTAAATATAAAGAATTATTTGTTTTGTAAACTTTTGTAAAAAAAAACAAAAAGTAATAATATTTTGGTAGGAATAATAAAAATCATATTATTTGGGTTATATTTATACATATGTGAAATAAATATACTATCAAAAAGTTGTATTTTATACAAAAAGTCAACGGTTACCTTTTGTATTCTATATACAAAGTTTTGTATGATACAATTGTTTATTTTTATCTGCAGACTTCAACTTTGCATTTTGGGGGAGGGCAGAATGGGATCATGGTTAAATCGCTGGGTCTGACCCCAAGCTCGCCGAAACCAATGGAGTCTTTCCATTGCCTTCACAGGGCTTTGAATCAAGCCTTTAAATCACCTTCAGATATGTTTGACATCTGAAGCTCTCTGGAAACCTCAACATGAAAACATTCCAGGTTTCAAATTTTTTCCCTGAAAAAGGCTTTTATTATTATTATTATTATTGTTATTATTATTGTAACTCTTGGGAGGCAGGTGGGACCTATGTAACTGTCATGTCCTTGTTGCATGTATGTCTGCTTTATATTTTCCCCATATTATAAACCAGTGTTTCTCTATACAGACTGAAGGGAAAAGTTGCTGTACAGAAATGTTTGTGTTTATGCATTTTTACGTGTGGCTGTATATACCTCCTAGTACTATGCAGTGACACTTATTTGACTCCATTTATTTTTCACCTAAACATGAATAGTATGTTTTTCAGTAGCTATCAAAACTCTGCCAAGTAAATCAATCAAAATTATCCCAAGCGTCTCTTTTCTTAACATGAGTTTTATAATGAATGCCTGTTTAGTCAACTGCTCGTTCATCTGAGTAAATTAAAATTACAGTGATATTTTAGGAGGGGGCGAGAAAAATGTGCATCTGGCAGCTTCTGGGAGCTCAGTCTGCCTCTGCAAGAGCTGCAACGCTTTCCTACTGACTGAAGACATGGTTTCCTTACCAGCAAGGGTTAACAGATAACACATGGTATTTTAGCTCGTGGTGAATGGGCTGGCGTAGCCTTGCAGCACAGTAATTTGCTCTGGGATCCTGC